TCTTCAACACTTTAAAAAGGTCTTGTGCAGCAGATTTGCCTAATGCAGTAAGTCGTCTGATTTCTTGACTGCTGCTGCTGTGAGTGTTGATAGTTGATCCAAGAACAATGAAGTCCTTGACAACTTCAATCTTGTCTGTTGATAAGAAGTAACTTTACTTCTTTATTGGGCACATACCCAAAAATAGAATAAGACCATTTAAAATTAATTAACTAGATATCTAACAATCCTCTAAAAATGTGAATTTCAAAACTGAGAAATATCATCCTCTCCCCAAATCACATTCACTCTCAATATCTAGTGCCCAGACAATGCCTTACTTTTACTACTAAAGCCTGTAACTAAAGTTTCTCAGCTTAAAAAAAACACAAACTTTCCTTTTTTTCATAACAATGGGTTAAGGTGGGCAAGGTTGGGATAAAGGAAAGCATTTTATCAAAAGAACAGACAAACTTGCAAAATGGACCTGCATTTGGCCTTGCTCATCAGCATATTCGATAGACCGGAAGATAGTGAGGGCACAGCGTTGTCTGGCCTTCAACCGAGCTCTGTAACCTCGGTACCAATTCTGGATGATGGTTGCAGCTCTTATCACTGTCGACCCACAGGATATGAAAGTCAGAGAAAAACAATTACTATGTAGTTATGGGCAAAGCACTTTTGGAAAAAAAACAGTCCACTAGGATTCCTAGGTTCTAAGAACATGAAAACCAAAAACAATTAAACTTATCTTCATAGTTTTTATTAAAATGCCCTCAAATCTCAAATATTTACAGAGAAATTATAGCACTGTATTAGGTACACAAATTTTGGAACAGGATTTCCAGAATTTGAATCCTTCCTGTGCTAACTACTATTTGTTTGACTCTGAGTAAATTATTAATACTCTTAAAGCCTCAGTTTCCTTACCTGTAAAATGGTGATGATAATAGTGCCTACATTTGACACTACTTTGGCAAATAAACTCTATGTATACCCTATAAAGTAACAATTTCATTCTTCTATATATACCCCAAAGCAATACTCATACCAACTGACTTGCTTCATTTTCCCAATTAGCACATAAAACTTAAGAGTTGGCTATAGCCAAGATCAAGGATTCCTAGTGGCACAGTGGGCTAAGCATTGGGCTGCTAACCAAAAGGTTAGTGGTTCGAACCCACCAGCTGCTCCAAGGGAGAAAGGTGAGGCAGTCTGCTTCCATAAAGATTTACAATCTTGGAAATCCTATGGAGTAGTTCTGAGGAATAGCATTGTCGATGTCCGATGGATCTTGGCTGAAAGCAGAGGATACCAGAAAGATGTTTACCTGTGCTTTATTGACTACGCAAAGGCTTTTGATTGTGTGGATCATGACAAACTATGGACAACATTGCGAAGTATGAGTATTCCTGAACACTTAATTGTGCTCATGAGGAATCTGTACATGGACCAAGAGGCAGTTGTTCGAACAGAACATGGGAACACTGAATGGTTTAAAATTAAGAAAGGTTTAAAATTAAGAATATAGGGTTGTATTCTTTCACCATGCTTATTCAACCTGTATGATGAGCAAATAATCCGAGAAGCTGGGTTATATGAAGAAAAACGTGGCATCAGGATTGGAGGAAGACTCATTAACAACCTGTGATATGCAGATGATACAACCTTGCTTGCTGAAAGTGAAGAGGACTTAAATTATTTACTGATGAAGATCAAAGACCACAGTCTTCGGTATGGATTATATCTCAATGTAAAGAAAACAAAAATCCTCACCACTGGACCAATAAACAACATTCTTATCAACACAGAAAACACTGAAGTTGTCAAGGGCTTCATTCTTCAACCAACTATCAACACTCAAGGAAGAAGCAGTCAAGAGATCAAATGATGTATTGCATTAGGCAAATCTACTGCACAAGACTTTTTGAAAGTGTTGAAGAGCAACAATGTCAGCTTGAGGACTAAGGTGTGCCTGACCCAAACCATGGTATTTTCAATAACCTCATATGCATGCGAAAGCTGGACAGTGAATAAGGAAGACTGTAGAAGAAGTGACAGATTTGAGTTATGGTGTTGGAGGAGAATATTGAAAGTGCCATGGGCTGCCACAAGAACCAGTGGATGGTGTTGGAAGAAGTGCAGCCAGAATACTTGGAGGCCAGGATGGCCAAACTTCGTCTCTCATACTTTGAACATATTGTCAGGAGGGGCTAGTTGCTGAAGAAGGATATCATGTTTGGTAAGGTGGAGGGTCAGAGAAAAAGAGGAAGACTCCCAGCAAGATGTATTGGCCAAGTGGCAGCATCAATGGGCTCAAGCATGTCACAATAGTAAGGTTGGCCCAGAATCAGGCAGTGTTTCGTTCTGCTGTGCATAAGGTCACTAAGAGTTGGTAACAACTCGATGGTACCTAACAACAAAAACAACAGAAATCACTAGCCTTCTAGCCAGAGAAGAAGGGCAGAAATTAGAATTTACTTCTTAGACTTTTTATTTACTCACTTACTCTCCTACCCACCAACCCATCTGCATGTGAAAATAACAGTAAGTTCTGAGAGTCCAGATGGGGCTACAGCCTCCGAAATCAGGTAGGGTATGCTCCGATGAGAAGGGAGGGGAATTTCATGAAGGAAGCGCTCATAGAACAACTCCAGTGCTCCAGATCTACCATAAGATCCAGGACATCAGTTTCCCGCGTAAAATCACGATATTAAGGAAAATACGGGTGATGTAGGAATCTGGAGACTGGACTGCCTCGGCAACTACTCTATCCCGGTAGAGTTTAGAGGGTGGGGCTAAAGCCAGCCCGGATCAGAAACAGCGCTTTCAGCAAAAAAAAAAAAAAAAAAAAAGAGAGAGAGAGAGAGAGCCACAGGAAAATACACATTTCTCCCTCTCTCTCTCCCTGTCCCAAACTCATTTCTCAGCCCGGACATCAGGCGGGACAGTTTTCCCATGGTACAGAGATGGAGCTTGGCAGCGACTTATGATGTCACCCGCAGGCCCAAAATCTGAGGCTGTGCATTTGAGCCAGGGTGAGGCACCTCATTTTTCTCCCACGGAGCAGCTTGGAATTTCCAGCTATTGTTCTTGCAATCCACAGCCACTGTGCTGCTGGAGCTCCCTGTGTAGGATCAACACAGAGCAATCTGTAAAACCACAGCATAACAGGACTCAACCATTCTGAGATTTGCGCTGAGCACATGCAGATAATTGACCTTTAGAGACAAAAATAGTGAACGATCTTTCTCCCATCAACTCCCCAATATCTATCTGCACACCTATATGGCAGTGACTAGAGGAGAGGCCTGGGAGAGGGTCACCCCCACCCCCTGCTGGAGACTTCTAACTGCACACACACTGACGGAGTAGCACTGTTCCAAAGTGGTGATTTTTGTCTATGCATTTATATTACTCTTGCTTTTGGTCCTTTAGATCACACATTTTATCTAGAGGTGGGAGCTTTCCCTCCCTACGTCACCTAAGAAAGGGCAGCAATTGTGGCTATATAGCCAAGCTATAAGCATACCCCATAATATTCCACCACTGAGACAAGACCCAACAATAGCACAGAATACACAAATCCAACACAAGAAGGAAGGCAGAACAAAAGAACGAACAGCACCACCAAAAGAGTAACATAATGACAGCAATCAATTCAAATTATCAATAATTACATTGAATGTCAATGGATTGAATGCACCAGTGAAGAGACAGAGAGTGGCAGAATGGATAAGAAAACAAGATCCATCAATAGGCTGCCTGCAAGAGACACACCTTACACACAAAGACAAAAACAGACTAAAAGTTAAAGGATGGAAAAAAATTTACCAAATCTAACTGCAACAATAAACAAGCAGGAGTGGCAATACTAATCTCCGACAAAGTAAACTTTAAGATAAAAACCTGCATAAGAGACAAAGAAGGACACTATCTCATGATCAAAGGGTCAATTGAGCAAGATGACATCACTGTAATAAATATATACACTCCCAATGAAAGAGCACCAAGATACATGAAGCAAACTTTACTGGAATTGAAGAAAGAAATAGATAAATCTATAATTATAGTGAGAGATTTTAACACACCACTCTCGAAAAGAGACAGAACAACCAGAAAGAAACTCGACAAAGCTACAGAGGAACTAAACAACACAATCAACCAACTTGACCTCATAGATGTATACAGAGCATTCAATCCAACAACAGCAGAATACACACTCTTCTCCAGTACACATGGAACATTTTCCAGAATTGACCATGTGTTAGGACACAAAGAAAGCTCCCATAAATTTACAAGCATCAAAATTCTACAGAGCATCTTCTCAGACCACAATGCTATAAAACCAGAAATCAATAATAAGAAGACCAAAGCAACAAAGTCGAATACATAGAAACTGAAAAACACCCTGCTGAAAAGCGACTGGGTAAAAGAAGAAACTAAACGTGAATTCACAAAGTTCCTAGAAACATATGAGAATGAAAACACAACATATCAAAATCTTTGGGATACGGCGAAAGCAGTCCTGAGAGGACAATTTATTGCGAAAAATGTGCACATAAAAAAGAAGACAGAACCAGAATCAACACATTAACACATCATCTTCAACAATTAGAAGCAGACCAGCAGAGGGAACCTGCAGTCACCAAAAGAAAGGAAATAATAAAGAGCACAAATAAACAATATGGAAAAGCAAAAAACTATAGAAATAATCAACAGGACAAGAAGCTGGTTCTTTGAAAGGATTAATAAAATTGAGAAACCATTTGCAAAACTAGCTAAAGAAAAGAGGGAGAGGACACAAATAAATCCCATTAGAAACCACATGGGTGAAGTCACAACAGAACCAAATGAAATCAAAAGGATAACAGAATACTATGAAGAGCTGTACTCCAACAAATTTGAAAACTTAGATGGGATGGATATATTTCTAGAAAAACATGACCTACCTAAACTTACTAAGAATGAAGTAGAAAACTTGAACAAACCATAAAAAAAGAAGAAATTGACCAGGTCATCAAAAAACTTCCAATCAACAAGAGCCCAGGCCCAGATGGCTTCACGGGTGAGTTCTACCAAACATTCCGAGAAGAACTGTCACCAATTCTATTCAACTTATTCCAGGACATAAAAGAGGATGGAAAACTCCATAATACTTTTAATGAAGCAAGCATAACTCTCATACCAAAACCAGGGAAGGATATAATTAAAAAAGAAAACTATAGACCAATATCCCTCATGAACATAGACGTAAAAATTCTCAACAAAATCCTAGCCAACAGAATCCAACAGCACATTAAAAAATAATACATCATGACCAAGTAGGTTTCATAAAAGTGATGCAAGAATGGTTCAACATCAGGAAAACAATCAATGTAATCCATCATATAAATAAGAAAAAAGAAAAGAACATGATAATATCGATTGATGCAGAAAAGGCATTTGACAAAATCCAACATCCATTCTTGATTAAAAAAACACTCAACAAAGTAGGAATTAAAGGGAAATTCCTCAACATAATCAAGAACATTTATACAAAACCAAGAGCCTACATCATGTTCAATGGAGAGAAGCTAAAACCTTCCCCCTGAGAACAGGAACCAGACAAGGAT